TAGTCAACATTAAAGAAAACACTAGCTTTCCTAAACTGTTTGCCTTACAATGTTATGTGTTCTAATAGTTTTCACTAAATTGTCACAATTGTTGAAAAGGTCCAAGAAATAAAACCCAGCTGCAAATGTTCTTATTTTTTTAAATGTTCAGTTTGCTATTAATGTGAGAAGAGTTGGCCCAAACCACTAGTTTTTGAATTATAAAATTTTCACAAAGAACAATGTCAGTCCATAAATTGCAATAGGCAAACTTTACAATGTCTGCATACTCATGTCAGAAAAGTATGCAAAAATTCAAATAAAGCTTATCCAAATACTAGAACTTCTCAGGCCAGATTCTTATCTCAATAACACTAGTGTTGATCCAGTTTTACTCAATAAAAAAGTCAGTGGAGTTAATCTGGATTAACACGACTGTAACTGAGATTAAAATCTAGCAATTTATACACGGAATTTGGACCCTAATTATGTAAACATAAATGTATTCACATTAGCCTGATTGAACTTAGTGGAACTACTCATATGAAAAAATGTACATTTGTCTAAGTGTGGCCTTAGGTTAGAGTGTGGCCTTTCGCTGAAAAACTCAAGAGAACAGACTTTGTCCTAAGATTTCCATCATATTTTATTCTTTATTAGTCCAGAAAGCAACTATAAAAACACTTTCTCTTCTGTTGTTTCAGTGCTGACCCAGACCCAAAAACATGGAGATGTGTACAAAGGACAAATAATGAAAAATTAAACCTTCAAAAAGAAAAAAAAAGAGTTTGGAAGTGATTCTTACATTAAACAAGCCCATCGAAACTTCCCTTCCCAGAATAACAGGGCTTATTATGAAACTGACAGGGTGAATCTCACCTCAGTTCAAAAGGTGCGCTGCTATAAATCTGTGGCTAGACTCCTTGCCAGCTTGACCTCTGCTGCTCCTCTGGGTCTAGTGTGTGTAGCACATAGACTATAATCCTTATGCCTTCCTGGATGCAGTGTCCACAGTTTTGGTCCTAAATCTCTGTCTCTTCAGTCGGAGAACAAATTAACCAAACTCCAAAAATAAGAGACAGGGTCTGCCTGGTTTTTAAACTCTCCTTTCCCAAAATTCAGCTACCAGAGTGGCCTTGCATTACCAAATAGGGCTATTGTTTCTGTCTTTCATGTGGTTACCACTACTATGGTGTATCTGAGTCTAGAAAAAGAAAATATTTTGTACTTAGGCTATGTCTACACTACGGAATAAGGTTGAATTTATAGAAGTCGGTTTTTTAGAAATCGGTTTTATATATTCGAGTGTGTGTGTCCCCACAGAAAATGCTCTAAGTGCATTAAGTGCATTAACTCGGCGGAGCGCTTCCACAGTACCGAGGCTAGAGTCGACTTCCAGAGCGTTGCACTGTGGGTAGCTATCCCACAGTTCCCGCAGTCTCCGCTGCCCATTGAAATTCTGGGTTGAGATCCCAATGCCTGATGGGGCTAAAACATTGTCGCGGGCGGTTCTGGGTACATATCATCAGGCCCCCGTTCCCTCCCTCCCTCCGTGAAAGCAAGGGCAGACAATCGTTTCGCGCCTTTTTTCCTGAGTTACCTGTGCAGACGCCATACCACGGCAAGCATGGAGCCCACTCAGGTAACCGTCACCCTATGTCTCCTGGGTGCTGGCAGACGCGGTACGGCATTGCTACACAGTAGCAGCAACCCCTTGCCTTGTGGTAGCAGACGGTACAGTATGACTGGTAGCCGTCATCGTCATGTCCGAGGTGCTCCTGGCCACGTCGGCTGGGAGCGCCTGGGCAGACATGGGCGCAGGGACTAAATTTGGAGTGACTTGACCAGGTCATTCTCTTTAGTCCCAGTCAGTCCTATTGAACCGTCTTATGGTGAGCGGGCAGGCGATACGGACTGCTAGCAGTCGTGCTGTACCATCTTCTGCCGAGCAGCCATGAGATGTGGATGGCATGCAGTCCTTCTGCACCGTCTGCTGCCAGCCAAAGATGTAAAAGATAGATGGAGTGGATCAAAACAAGAAATAGACCAGATTTGTTTTGTACTCATTTGCTTCCCCCCCTCCCCTGTCTAGGGGACTCATTCTTCTAGGTCACACTGCAGTCACTCACAGAGAAGGTGCAGCGAGGTAAATCTAGCCATGTATCAATCAGAGGCCAGGCTAACCTTCTTGTTCCAATAAGAACGATAACTTAGGTGCACCATTTCTTATTGGAACCCTCCGTGAAGTCCCGCCTGAAATACTCCTTGATGTAAAGACACCCCCTTTGTTGATTTTAGCTCCCTGAAGCCAACCCTGTAAGCCGTGTCCTCAGTCGCCCCTCCCGGCGTCAGAGCAACGGCAAACAATCGGGCATCTGAGAGTGCTGTCCAGAGCAGTCACAATGGAGCACTCTGATGGGGCTAAAACATTGTCGCGGGTGGTTCTGGGTACGTATCGTCAGGCCCCCGTTCCCTCCCTCCCTCCGTGAAAGCAAGGGCAGACAATCATTTCGCGCCTTTTTTCCTGAGTTACCTGTGCAGACGCCATACCACGGCAAGCATGGACCCCGCTCAGGTAACCGTCACCCTATGTCTCCTGGGTGCTGGCAGACGCGGTACGGCTTTGCTACACAGAAGCAGCAACCCATTGCCTTCTGGCAGCAGATGGTGAAATATGACTGGTAGTCGTCCTCGTCATGTCCGAGGTGCTCCTGGCCACGTCGGCTGGGAGCGCCTGGGCAGACATGGGTGCAGGGACTAAATTTGGAGTGACTTGACCAGGTCATTCTCTTTAGTCCTGCAGTCAGTCCTATTGAACCGTCTTATGGTGAGCGGGCAGGCGATACGGACTGCTAGCAGTTATGTACCATTTAGGAGGAAGAGATGAGGATTGCTAGTAGTCGTATTGTACCATCTTCTGCCAGGCAAGCAAGAGATGAGGATGGCTAGCAGTCATACTGTACCATCTTCTGCCGAGCAGCCATGAGATGTGGATGACATGCAGTCCTTCTGCACCGTCTGCTGCCAGCCAAAGATGTAAAAGATAGATGGAGTGGGTCAAAACAAGAAATAGACCAGATTTGTTTTGTACTCATTTGCTTCCCCCCCTCCCCTGTCTAGGGGACTCATTCTTCTAGGTCACACTGCAGTCACTCACAGAGAAGGTGCAGCGAGGTAAATCTAGCCATGTATCAATCAGAGGCCAGGCTAACCTCCTTGTTCCAATAAGAACGATAACTTAGGTGCACCATTTCTTATTGGAACCCTCCGTGAAGTCCTGCCTGAAATACTCCTTGATGTAAAGACACCCCCTTTGTTGATTTTAGCTCCCTGAAGCCAACCCTGTAAGCCGTGTCGTCAGTCGCCCCTCCCTCCATCAGAGCAACGGAAGACAATCGTTCCGCGCCTTTTTTCTGTGCGGACGCCATACCAAGGCAAGCATGGAGGCCGCTCAGCTCACTTTGGCAATTAGGAGCACATTAAACACCACACGCATTATCCAGCAGTATATGCAGCACCAGAACCTGGCAAAGCGACACCGGGCGAGGAGGCGACGTCAGCGCGGTCACGTGAGTGATCAGGACATGGACACAGATTTCTCTGAAAGCATGGGCCCTGCCAATGCATGCATCATGGTGCTAATGGGGCAGGTTCATGCTGTGGAACGCCGATTCTGGGCTCGGGAAACAAGCACAGACTGGTGGGACCGCATAGTGTTGCAGGTCTGGGACGATTCCCAGTGGCTGTGAAACTTTCGCATGCGTAAGGGCACTTTCATGGAACTTTGTGACTTGCTTTCCCCTGCCCTGAGGCGCATGAATACCAAGATGAGAGCAGCCCTCACAGTTGAGAAGCGAGTGGCGATAGCCCTGTAGAAGCTTGCAACGCCAGACAGCTACCGGTCAGTTGGGAATCAATTGGAGTGGGCAAATCTACTGTGGGGGCTGCTGTGATGCAAGTAGCCCACGCAATCAAAGATCTGCTGATATCAAGGGTAGTGACCCTGGGAAATGTGCAGGTCATAGTGCATGGCTTTGCTGCAATGAGAAAAGGAGTACTTGTGGCATCTTAGAGACTAACCAATTTATTTGAGCATGAGCTTTCGTGAGCTACAGCTCACTTCATCGGATGCATACCGTGGAAACTGCAGCAGACTTATATACACACAGAGAATATGAAACAATGCCTCCGCCCACCCCACTGTCCTGCTGGTAATAGCTTATCTAAAGTGATCATCAGGTTGGGCCATTTCCAGCACAAATCCAGGTTTTCTCACCCTCCACCCCCCCCCCCCCCCACACACAAATTCACTCTCCTGCTGGTGATAGCCCATCCAAAGTGACAGCTCTTTACACAATGTGCATGATAATCAAGTTGGGCCATTTCCTGCACAAATCCAGGTTCTCTCACCCCCTCACCCCCCTCCCAAAAACCACACACAAACTCACTCTCCTGCTGGTAATAGCTCATGCTCAAATAAATTGGTTAGTCTCTAAGGTGCCACAAGTACTCCTTTTCTTTTTGCGAATACAGACTAACACGGCTGTTACTCTGAAACTTTGCTGCAATGGGATTCCCTAACTGTGGTGGGGCTATAGACAGAACCCATATCCCTATCTTGGCACTGGAGCACCAAGCCGCCGAGTACATAAACCGCAAGGGGTACTTTTCGATAGTGCTGCAAGCTCTGGTGGATCACAAGGGACGTTTCACCAACATCAACGTGGGATGGCCGGGAAAGGTGCATGATGCTCGCATCTTCAGGAACTCTGGTCTGTTTCAAAAGCTGCAGGAAGGGACTTTATTCCCAGACCAGAAAATAACTGTTGGGGATGTTGAAATGCCTATATGTATCCTTGGGGACCCAGCCTACCCCTTAATGCCATGGCTCATGAAGCCGTACACAGGCAGCCTGGACAGTAGTCAGGAGCTGTTCAACTACACGCTGAGCAAGTGCAGAATGTTGGTAGAATGTGCATTTGGACGTTTAAAGGCGCGCTGGCGCAGTTTACTGACTCGCTTAGACCTCAGCGAAACCAATATTCCCACTGTTATTACTGCTTGCTGTGTGCTCCACAATATCTGTGAGAGTAAGGGGGAGATGTTTATGGTGGGGTGGGAGGTTGAGGCAAATCGCCTGGCTGCTGGTTACGCGCAGCCAGACACCAGGGCGGTTAGAAGAGCACAGGAGGGCGCAGTACGCATCAGAGAAGCTTTGAAAACCAGTTTCATGACTGGCCAGGCTACGGTGTGAAAGTTCTGTTTGTTTCTCCTTGATGAAACCCCCCGCCCCTTGGTTCACTCTACTTCCCTGTAAGCTAACCACCCGCCCCTCCTCCCTTCAATCACCACTTGCAGAGGCAATAAAGTCATTGTTGCTTCACATTCATGCATTCTTTATTCATTCATCACACAAATAGGGGGATGACTACCAAGGTAGCCCAGGAGGGGTGGTGGAGGAGGGAAGGAAAATGCCACACAGCACTTTAAGCACAGCACTTTAAAAGTTTACAACTTTAAAATTTATTGAATGACAGCCTTCTTTTTTTTGGGCAATCCTCTGTGGTGGAGTGGCTGGTTGGCCGGAGGCCCCCCCACCGCGTTCTTGGGCGTCTGGGTGTGGAGGCTATGGAACTTGGGGAGGAGGGCGGTTGGTTACAGAGGGGCTGCAGTGGCAGTCTGTGCTCCAGCTGCCTTTGCTGCAGCTCAACCATACACTGGAGCATACTGGTTTGGTCCTGCAGCAGCCTCAGCATTGAATCCTGCCTCCTCTCATCACGCTGCCGCCACATTTGAGCTTCAGCCCTGTCTTCAGCCTGCCACTTACTCTCTTCAGCCCGCCACCTCTCCTCCCGGTCATTTTGTGCTTTCCTGCACTCTGACATTATTTGCCTCCACGCATTCGTCTGTGCTCTGTCAGTGTGGCAGGACAGCATGAGCTCGGAGAACATTTCATCGCGAGTGCGTTTTTTTTTTCTTTCTAAGCTTCACTAGCCTCTGGGAAGGAGAAGATCCTGTGATCATTGAAACACATGCAGCTGGTGGAGAAAAAAAAAGGGACAGCGGTATTTAAAAAGACACATTTTATAAAACAGTGGCTACACTCTTTCAGGGTAAATCTTGCTGTTAACATTACATACATAGCACATGTGCTTTTGTTACAAGGTCGCATTTTGCCTCCTCCCACCACGTGACTACCCCCTCAACCTTCCCCCCTCCCTGTGGCTAACAGCGGGGAACATTTCTGTTTAGCCACAGGCAAACAGCCCAGCAGGAATGGGCTCCTCTGAGTGTCCCCTGAAGAAAAGCACTCTATTTCAACCAGGTGACCATGAATTATATCTCACTCTCCTGAGGATAACACAGAGAGATAAAGAACGGATGTTGTTTGAATGCCAGCAAACATACACTGCAATGCTTTGTTCTACAATGATTCCCGAGTACGTGTTACTGGCCTGGAGTGGTAAAGTGTCCTACCATGAAGGACGCAATAAGACTGCCCTCCCCAGAAACCTTTTGCAAAGGCTTTAGGACTACATCTAGGAGAACCGCAAATGGCAGGGCAAAGTAATCCTTTCACATGCGTGCTTTTAAACCATGTATAGCATTTTAAAAGGTACACTCACCAGAGGTCCCTTCTCCGCCTGCTGGGTCCAGGAGGCAGCCTTGGGTGGATTCGGGGGGTACTGGCTCCAGGTCTAGGGTGAGAAACAGTTCCTGGCTGTCGGGAAAACCGGTTTCTCCGCTTGCTTGCTGTGAGCTATCTACAACCTCCTCATCATCATCATCTTCTTCGTCCCCAAAACCTGCTTCCGTATTGCCCCCATCTCCATTGAAGGAGTCAAACAACACGGCTGGGGTAGTGGTGGCTGAACCCCCTAAAATGGCATGCAGCTCATCATAGAAGTGGCATGTTTGTGGCTCTGACCCAGAGCGGCTGTTCGCCTCTCTGGTTTTCTGGTAGGCTTGCCTCAGCTCCTTCAGTTTCACGTGGCACTGCTTCGGGTCCCTGTTATGGCCTCTGTCCTTCATGCCCTGGGAGATTTTGACAAAGGTTTTGGCATTTCGAAAACTGGAACAGAGTTCTGATAGCACGGATTCCTCTCCCCAAACAGCGATCAGATCCCGTACCTCCCGTTCGGTCCATGCTGGAGCTCTTTTGCGATTCTGGGACTCCATCATGGTCACCTGTACTGATGAGCTCTGCATGGTCACCTGCAGCTTGCCACGCTGGCCAAACAGGAAATGAGATTCAAAAGTTCGCGGTTCTTTTCCTGTCTACCTGGCCAGTGCATCTGAGTTGAGAGTGCTGTCCAGAGCGGTCATAATGGAGCACTCTGGGATAGCTCCCGGAGGCCAATACCATCGAATTGTGTCCACAATACCCCAAATTCGAGCCGGCAACGTCGATTTAAGCGCTAATCCACTTGTCAGGGGTGGAGTAAGGAAATCGATTTTAAGAGCCCTTTAAGTCGAAATAAAGGGCTTTATTGTGTGGACGGGTGCAGGTTTACATCGATTTAACGCTGCTAAATTCGACCTAAAGTCCTAGTGTAGACCAGGGCTTAGAATATTTTTTTAAATATATATCTGAAAACAGACAAGGGATGGATGTGTGCAAAACCCAAAGCCACTCTCCACACATCTGGTGCTTAAGGAGGAGAGTTGCCTTAGTATTTTTACTCTAGTCTCATGAAACATTTTACAAATGCACTCTCAATGGGTGAAGGGTAGTGGCTGTAAAATATTTCACGGTTGGAATAAATAGACTCCTGGCCCACCATCACACCTCACACACCTGTGCCAAGACACACACACTGATTCTTTTTCACTATGGTCAGGCCCTTCTTTGTATTACTGCAAATGAAGAACGTAATCTCAGTTTTTGTATATACTAAATAGATTAACTCTGTCTCCTTGAAACCAGGAATGTCCCTGTTTGCAATGCCTAGTCTTTTCAGTTTTACAGAAATCAGATGTTTTGTCCCGGTTTTGGTAAACTGGAGAAGACTGGCATACCCAAAGAGCCACATGTCAGTTGAGTTGGTGAAGATGATTAGCAGGCTGGGTAAGCACATATGAATCTCAGAGCCCACCCTATGTCCATTATGCAGTAGTGTTGCTACCCTTTCCTTGATAAATCTGCACTTCTGGATTTAGATGTCTAACTTTAGACCCTAAAATTTGATGCTGACTCTCTCTGTGGTCTTTGTCAGGTTACATAGCCAAAATATTCAAAGCTGGGATTGATCCTTGCTCAGTCCTTTGTGCCATACTATCTCTCATGCTACTATGGTGCCCCTCTTTGTGGCCAGAGAACACGGTGGCTGCTCAGGAAAGCAGCTGGCTCTGCCACAGGCCTGTAGCTAGTAGAGAGCTTGCAAAGTCCCTACTGCCATATACAGTAGCCTGATTGGCATCACCACCTTTTCATCTTGGAAAAGAGGAGACTAATGGGGATATGATAGAGTTATATAAAATCATGAGTGGTGTGGAGAAAGTGAATAAGGAAAAGTTATTTACTTGTTCCCATAATATAAGAACTAGGGATCACCAAATGAAATTAATGGGCAGCAGGTTTAAAACAAATAAAGGGAAGTTTTTCTTCACTCAGCGCACAGTCAACCTGTGGAACTCCTTGCCTAAGGAGGTTGTGAAGATTAGGACTATAACAAGGTTTAAAAGAGAACTGGATAAATTCATGGAGGTTAAGTCCATTAATGGCTATTAGCCAGGATGGGTAAGGAATGGTGTCCCTAGCCTCTATTTGTCAGAGGGTGGAGATGGATGGCAGGAGAGAGATCACTTGATCATTACCTGTTAGGTTCACTCCCTCTGGGGCACCTGGCATTGGCCACTGTTGGTAGACAGGATACTGGGCAGGATGGACCTTTGGTCTGGCCCAGTATGGCCATTCTTATGTTCTTAACTGTGTACATTGTTCTAAACTCTTCCCCAGGATCAAGGGACCTGGATATTCCATGAATCCATGGTTCCAGAATTTCCTACAGATTCCACCATTTGCTGCAGAATCATGCTCTGGAATCTCAGCTGTCATTTAAATAGAAAATGTCTAGCCCTTGTGCTTGCAAAGATAACTTCAAAAATGTGACCCACTTGTAAACCACTGTCTGTATGAGTTAGCAAAGAACCTGAATCAATGGCTCTGGCAAGTGTGAACTGCCCCAGTCAAATCCCATAGACTCTATGGTTGTGTGGCCATGAAATATGGCATATTTTCAGGATAGCACAGAATTAAGCATTTTTGCTTGAGAGTTCATTGTTTTACTTGCAGCCAGGTCTGCCTGGCATTTTATTTTCTGTCTTCCTATGCTGTGGGCCATGCCTGCAGCTGATTCTTGCTCTGCATCTTTCCCCATAAGGTGGAATTAAATGGATCGGAGTGCACACTCCCTTCACTGTTCTATGGAATCAGCAGTGGTGTGGGGTCAGGGAGCCAGAGCTGGACTTCAATTTGTAACAAGGAAGGAGAGGGAGCAAGAAGTCTATGCTGGATAGTTAAGCTGCCTAGACAATAGAGATGGAGTTAAAGCCTGGGAAGCCGATATGGTGAACTGGGTAAGGTGACTACAAGTTTCCTCCTTCTCTGGGAATGACTGCCCCCATACTGTCAAAACAACATTGCTGAGGCCCATGGATCTGGACTGTCCAGAGGTCACAGCAAAACAATCCATTATCAACGATAATCATTGCTGACAATGTACAAATTGTACATAAAAAGTATTTCCAACTATAGGCCATAGTCAGGTGTGGAAGGGATGGATGGTAATAAAGGGTGGTTTATGGAGATACAATAAATTAACACTGCTGCAGAGTTAGAGGTGCTTGCCATAGAATTTGGTTCCATTATGGCAGACTACGCAAGCACCTGCTCACAGCTGTTTTTCTAGATTCTTAAGCCCAGGCCTGTGGTTCTGAAAGGGTAAGCTCTTTAAGAAAACTGAGATTTTTAAGAAAAAGTGACAAGCTTTTGATTTTAGTAATCACTTTATTTACATTAGTTTACATCTGCTATTGACTGTCTGCACAAAAAAGGGGATGAAGAGGTTTAAAGCAAAGAGACAGAAAGAAAAAAGAAAGCTGAAATATGCATTTACGTTCTTTAAACCCTCAGATAAGGAAGGAAGGAAACAGGGCTAAGTGCTTGTGGCACCTCAAGGGCAAATCTGCTAGCTAGAAAACTCTCCCCTTCAGTGAAGATAACTGTGAATACATATGAAAAATGTTTGCTTTTATAGTTGTTATAAAGTGTCCAACCTGCTTTTAAATTACTGTTTAAGGCTATTATTATCATTTGCATTACAGTAGCACTGTGAGGGCAGAGTTCCACTGCACTATACAAACTTATGACAAAAATAAAGTCTCTACTCCAAAGAGTGTACAATCTAAGGCCCAATTCTGCAACATTTATGCACATATCTTTAGTACTTAAGTACCATGAGGGCATTTTAAACTGGTAATCAAACATAATTAAACTATATTCTAACTCAGGAATAAATCTGAGATGCAGTTTGGGATGATGCAAAATTAAGACTTGCAATACATTTGTTTCATCCACCTGTTGTTTATAGTCTAACCCTGCGAACACTTACACAAATAGAAAAGGAGTACTTGTGCCACAAGGTTCCTTTTCTTTTTGTGAATACAGACTAACACGGCTGCTACTCTGAAACTTACACAAATGTTTATCTTAATACTATGAGGACAAACTTAGCACAAATCTTTATCTAGCAGTATTCTAAGATGAATCTCACCTTGATTCTTGAGTTAGACTTGAGTTGCCACTATACACTGCCTTCTGCTAAAACTAAGTATTGTGAACTCACCTGGGATCTATTTAGTGGTAGAGTTTCTGCAGAGTTTATTTTTATAACAGCAGTAAGTCTTTTAAAGCAATTTGACATTTTAGAAAATTACTAAAGCATTAAATCCACTTTTAATAAATTAACAGCATGTTTCCTTGTTTCAGTTTTCATTTCACTTGTATATCAGCTGGTTAATCTGAAAATCAGAAGGTTTTTTAAATAAAATATAAAAATGTTTGCAATTATTTAGATGCTGCTAAAGATTATTGACATTATACTTTTCTTCAGGACACTGTTTTAATTTTTTTATTGTGACAATTAGAAAAAAGGAATAATTTCTCCCTATTATAGTCTAACTTTGAAGATTTTGTAGTTTATATTGTCTGTATATTGGAAACTAGATCCTACCACCCATGCAAATAAATATAAGTAGACTTGTGTTTGAAAGGCAAATATTTGTCTGGATTTTTTTTTCTCTACATTTTTACTGTCTTTGGCTTTCTAACCTCACCGAGGTTGTGTTGCATTACATTACTAGTGATCAAAATGTTCCCCATGGAAAGCTCCAATCCTATGACTACATGCTTGTGGATGGACCTGCTGCCCACTTGGTGCTCTAATGACCTCAATGGAGCTTTGCACAGGTGCAGTGTCTATCTGAATACATGGAGGATCAGGGCCTAAATTTTCTTTTATGACAATTCATTGATTCCGCAGCCCCCAAAATGTTTTACTCCATGAAAATATATAAGCCTAAATTTTTGAAAACTGACTGTTGGCTGGCCTGTCTTAATCCTTGGCGCCTTAAAGGGGCCTGACATTCAGAAAGTACTGAATATTTGTTCAATGAAATCAGGGTCTTTAAAGGTATCCCCAGATAGGCCACCAAAATTAAAAGTCACTTTTCACTTCCAGTGTGGCCTACTAGTTTGAGTAGTGGACTGAGCCTTAAGAGAGCTAGATTCTATTCCTGCCTCAGCTGCTAGATGACCTTAGGCACGTCACTTTCTGGTGCCTCAGTTTCCTCTTCTATAAAATGAGGCTGACCTCCTTCGTAAACAACTCTGAAATATATTAATTAAAAACCCATATAAGAACTGGGTGTTTTTACTCTTACAAATTTAGGCCTTAGTCTTTTTCTATGATATATTTATTTATTTATTTGATTAAGAAACAACTTATAATGGGATAGGGCCTGTCCTACAATACCCCATTGGAGGCATTTCCATTGAAGACAATGGGAGCTCTGCATAGAAAAGGCTTGCATGAATCATTTCCTATGTTCTCAGAAGGCTTATTGCTGTGTCCACCTACATGTGTTGTCGTCGTTTGACTTTTACTATGATTGTTGTGGTTCCTTCAATGTAGGAAGACAGAAGAGATATTTCATACCAATAAACCATTTGAAAGCCTGATTGTACGATGTACAACTGAATCCTGCTTACTTTGCTAACCTAAATACTCCTGATCATTTCAGTGGGACTGCTTGAGTGCATAAGCAGAAATTCATTTGGCTTACTAGACATTTAAGTTTTACGATAGGTTTCAATTGGGAAGACAATGATTCACACTACTGTTCATTTTGGGTACCAGCCAAAGCAAGTGGGGAAGACAATGGCTTGGAAGTGAGAGTAGTTTCCGGTGTGGACAGATTTCTGCCTTGTCATAAAT